CAAATTTTTGGAAGTAAAACACAGTTTAAAAGGGCGTTTTACATATGTGAAATATTGTTATGTCAGTTAAGCACAAAAGAGTTATTGGTGGGCCCACACAACATGTAAAACGCGGTTTATTACTGAATTTTATATAAAATACAGTAATGAACTGCGCTTTATATAGCCGTCTTATCAGCTTCCAGGTAAAGCGCGGTTCATTAACGCATTTTATAGAAAACGCAGTAACAAATCGCGCTTTACCTGAACATCCCAAACGGCCGTTAAGATAAAACGTGGTTCATAACCGCATTTTATATAAAATAATAACTATATTTTTTTTTCATCTAAAAAAATATTTTAATCCAAAAGAACCACATTTTGATTCCGAACTCTATTTGTAAAACGGATCACTCTATTTCCTGTCCGAGTAACTACAAAAGAAAATCTCACATTAGAAGGGGCTAAATGATTATCTTCCTTAGTTTAATTACTAACGGGATTCTCATTTCATTCCAAACCCCAGCATCAGCAACTTTCACAGCGCCTCCTAAAACCCTACTCCACTCTCTAGTCAGTATACACACAAACGGCCAAGCACCACTGATCCGGCAAAAACCCTAACAAATGTCTTCTTCCATTTCCCTGCGCCTCGCGCGCCAATTGTCAACCTCAGCCGCCACTGCTACCGCTGCTGCTTCGTCAACCTCCGGCGCATCCATCTCTATCTCCAAAGCAAAATCGAAGCTGAAATCCGAGCACGATCCAGACAAAGCCCTAAAAATTTACTCTTCCGTTTCTGACCATTACACTTCCCCTTTATCCTCTCGTTATGCTCAGGAATACACAGTTAAACGCCTCGCCAAATCCCACCGTTTCTCGGACATCGAAGTATTCCTCGAGTCGCACAAAAATGACAAGAAAATCACCGAAGAGCCCTTCCTTTCCTCGATCATCCGTTCCTATGGAATTGCCGGAATGTTTGATCATGCGCTTAAAACTTATCATCAAATGGACGATTTAGGCACCCCCAGATCAGTTGTTTCGTTTAACGTGCTTCTTTCGGCTTGTGTTAACTCGAAACTATATGATCGTGTCCCCCATCTGTTCGATGAAATACCAAAGAAGAACGGATTTTTACCGGACAAAGTTTCATATGGTGTATTGATTAGGTCATTTTGTGAAATGGGGAAAACTGAGCTGGCAATGGAGAGACTTAAGGAGATGGAAGAGAAAGGTGTGGAGGTTACGGTGGTTATTTACACGACAATACTGCATTCCTTGTATAAGGGCGGGAAGAGCGATGAGGCTGAGAGGATTTGGAATGAAATGGTGAAGAGAGGTTGTGGACCGGATGTTGGTGCTTATAATGTTAAGATTATGAACATTCAGGGTGGTGAACCTGAGGGAGTGAAAGGATTAATTGAGGAAATGAGCAATGCAGGTTTAAAGCCCGATACAATTAGTTACAATTACTTGATGTCTTGTTACTGTCGGAATGGGATGATGGATGAGGCTGAGAAGGTTTATGAGGATTTGGAGACAAATGGGTGCAATCCAAATGCTTCAACTTTTAGGACTTTGATATTCTATTTGTGTAGGAGTGAGCGGTTCGAGGCAGGGTATAGAGTGTTCAGGGAGAGTGTGACAGCAAACAAGATTCCGGATGTCAATACACTCAAGTATTTGGTGCATGGTTTGGTGAACAGTTCAAAGGTGAAAGATGCAAAAGAGATGATTAGGACAATGAAGAAGAAGTTCCCTCCTAATGTGGTGAAAGTCTGGATCAAGTTAGAGCACGAGCTCGGTTTAGCTAAAGCTGAAGACAGTGGTATCAAGTCTAATGATACTAATGTTGCTTAGTTATGATTCTTGTTTGTGGTAGCTGGAAGCATTATTGCAGCTTGTTGTTGAAGGACTTTACATGATTGAATTTGTTTATCTGTTATAAAGATGTGAGTTAGCACTTGGCGCTAACATTTTCTATGCCCTTTAATTTTGAAAGCTAATATAGAACTTACATGAGTTTTGTAGTCCTTTTGAAGATTCGCAAATGGCCAATTCTATGGGCTAAAAGTTCTGTTGCTTCGTTGCTTTTTCCTGTTCTTCTATCCATTGATTTGAATAATCAATATAATGTTGCCATATTGCTTAGAATCTAATTTTTAAATTGATCTGATGGTTTATTGTTAAAGTTCTTTTCTATAGTGCTGCTTGATTAACGAGTTAAAGGATTTCGGGAGCATTCTTCTTAACTCATTAACACTATACTTTAGGGACAAGGTATATTAGCTAGCTTTAGGAGAAAAAGCGAATCTGGTAAATACAATTGTTGTTGGAAACAAGATTCTACAGGTTTCGTGATTATTGGAGGAGTTAGCTTCAGTTTGTTATTTCCTATGGTAGATACAATTCAAGGCCCTATTCTTAATTTGCATATATAAAGTGCATTCAGATATATGCAACTGCAGAATTGTGTATGCCACTGAAGTACACGATCTGTATGTGAAGCTTCTGTATGAACATTTAGTACTTTGAAGTTGTTAAAGGTCCAAAAGTCACTGACTCATTTCTCTTATGCCTTTACATGGTTTTTGATATTCTTGCATCCTCAAGAGTCAAGAAAAACATTCAGCAGTTTCCAATTTATTGGATTCCCCTCCCCTGTGGTGCCATGATAAATTTGCCAAGCCTTCGGAAGTGTAGCACTCTTAGTTTATCTGCAACATTGTATTAGGACCATAACATTACTTTCCAATGAAGTTTATGAGGTAGTCATTTTGTGGTTATTCTGACGTATTCTAATTGCTTCCAGATAACAAGAGATCCTGAATTCTGAAACGCGAAATCCCTCCGGTTTTGGTTTCATCAGCTATGACGTCTTTGAGGCATGCAGCAAAGCCATCCTTTAATGTGGTAACTTCCTCCCCTCTTTAAGTACCTTATTGAGAGACACAACATTCCAACTTAAAGTTTCAGATGTATGGATTAGCTTTTCCTGGTTTGGAGATTGTGCTATGTTTGTGAGCCTTTTGTTTTATTTGAATTTGATTTAGTTTCTTTTTTTTGGATGACAGTGGTGCTTTAAGGCATCTAATGCAGCAAAGCCTTCCTTTAAAGTGGTAAACCCCCACACACACCACCACCACCGCCACCACAAACCCCAACCCCCAAATGCCAACCTTAACTTATTTAAATTTGAATAGTCACAATAAAATTCAGATGTAAGGATTAGCTACTTTAGCTTGCAGACCGTGCTATCTTGTAACTCTTTTTCTTTTTTGAATTAGGTTATCATTCTGATGTGCTTTTTAAAGCCCATCGAATTGCTAGTAAATCATGATGAGTTTGGATTGAACATTCATACAATGAGCTACTTGCATGATTTTAAGTTTATTACCTAGAAGTGGAGTATTTCAGAATTATCTATGTTGTTGGCTTTCTTTGTCCTATTATATTAATATTCTTTGTTACCAATTTTCAAATGACAGTTTATGCTTGATTCACTCGAACTTCAGATGGCTTATGCAATTGATTGTCCAAATAAATGTTAAAAGTACATTGTTTTTAGCTTAGAAATGATATTTTGGGTTTTATTTTGGGGAGAGAGGGGGGTTGGATGGTTTCCGGAGGCCCATCGGGCATGGGTTAGGGGGAAGTGCGCAGTTAGCCACTAATTAGAGGTGTCTTTACTCTTTAGCCACTATTTTGAAATGTATTTACTCTTTAGCCAGTGCTTAATAATTTTTATCCGCCCGGACGAAAATACCCCTGCGCTAGACATGGGTGATGTGTAAATATTAAGGACATGGTGTCCTTAACTTCATGAATGATTTGTAAATATTAAGGACAAAGTGTCCTGCATGTCCTTAACTTCATATGCACAGTGTAAATGTTAAGGACATAGCGTCCTTAACTTCATGTGTGCAGTGTAAATGTTAAGGACATAATGTCCTTAACTTGTATTTACACCTTCTATTGTTAAACTTTATGACCTCATGTCCTTAACTTCATATGGGCAATGCAAATGTTAAGTGTCCTTAACTTGATGTGTGCAGGGTAAATATTAAGGACTATCCTTAACTTTATGAGTGTTGTGTAAATATTAAGGACATGGTGTCCTTAACTTCATGAATGCTGTGTAAATATTAAGGACAGAGTGTCCTGTCATGTCCTTAACTTCATATGTGCAGTGCAAATGTTAAGGACATCATGTCCTTAATATTTACACAACACTCATGTAGAAAGGCGTCTTTTCGTTTTAATCTTAATAGAGTAGTCGCTATTTTTTTTCAGCATTAAAAATACTAGATAAAAACTAAATACCGTTTTAAAAGTGGCTATCCCACGCCATTTCTATCATGGGTTACAGGTGCAACTGTCGCATTCTAACATGGCATGGGATATGGAACTTTGTATTTCCAAAAAAAGAAATTTAGGAGTTAACATAACCATGAACCAGATATTAAATATACTTTGACATGCATACATTATGCCGCTGGAGGTATAATGCAGTGACATTCCAGAGGGCTATGTACATAGAGATGCTGGGATTCGACCCTTGTGAAGCATATTTATGGTGTTTCACCTCACTGCATAACCCATTGTAGCTCATAAAGTTGCATAGACCATACGTGATTATTGATCTGTACTGATACTTTTAGGACATTTTACTTGGTACTTCAAAAGAAAATTTCTATGGCTTTAACTCTTTCCTCTTTCTCATAGTCCCCTTGGTTTGCATATGTTAGTTTAGAAGTCTTACTCGATAGTTTGACTTGGTATTGGCAAAGAGGAGGAGAGAAAAATAATATTGCCACTCTTGAAACTTGATACATATTGAGGACATTTGGAGGAGACATTTTTGGTGGTCATATTGGACAAATAATTAGTGAGAAGGAGAAGTTAGTGTGTAAGACATGCATCTACCAAGTATTTTACCTACCTATACTACATATGAAACTCATTTACCCTCCCTAATCAAATTTTAACTTAATTACACGTTCATATACCATTTACCAATTATATACAAATTAGTTTTTAAAATGAGTGCCTTTTTATTTAGTAAATCCTAAAAAATTCTCACAATTCCTTACATACCGAGACAAACCTTAATCTTTTTAAAGGATTTTTCTCTTTCTCTCTGTTAAATCAACCCTCTTTCTACAATGATTTTTACAAGGTTTTTTCTTCTAAAGCTCATAATTTCCTCTAACAATAGCGAAAAAAGGGATTAATTTTTTTTATCGATTTGAATTTTGCCATGGCTGGAGTTTGGAGCTTTTCCGGGCTTCCCCTTTTCTTGTTGGAGTTCCAATGACAGGCTAGCAGTATATGTATATTAGTTATTTGGCTGGATTGTTCGAATTGAAATTGCCAATCAATAAATTTTTAAGGTGTTTGACTCTCCACCATTACGATCATTAAAAAGCTTCGAAGCTTTGAATCCAAATTCGAATTCGAATTTTCAAAAAATATTTTTTCTTTGGATTGGGTGTCATTGCAAACTATTGAGAATATTATATGGAGTTTATATCTCGATTTTGAGGGTATTTGGTGAAGATTAGATTTAATTTGGCTGGATTTTCAAATTGAAATTCGAAGAAGCAGAAGAACACACCGCATACAAATTACATACAAAAGACATATTGTATAAAGTTTGTATGAAAATTTTATTTAAGTTGCATGATGTTGTAGTTGCATTTAACTGGGTAAAAATGATGTATGAAAGTTGTAGATAAGTTGTATAATTAGTTGTATGAAATTTATTTTTAGTATATATGTTGTTGTAAATAAATCAAATTTTGTATGAAATTTAGTTTTAATTTGTATGATGCTGTAACTACATTATTCTTTTCTTAAAAGGTAATTATGGCAAAGCTAGAGAAGAGTTGCTCTAATTATGGCTTAAAATAGGTAATACACAACTGGAAGTAATCTTATTTAGATGGAAGGACAATTTGAACTTCCTTCCCTTCAGCTATGCAATTTTCCAAGCAAAGAATTCCTAATTTAAGGTACTAATAATGGATTGTATATAAATTGTAAGAAAAACTTGTTTAGGATAGGTAATATACAAAACTTGGACAATTTAAAAAAAGTTTCAAATACTGTATATGGAGAAAAATTTGTGTTAGATATATAAGTGTCAAGGGGCCGGGCCGGGCCGGGCCGGTAGGGGTAGAGGAAAAGGGAACCAACCGGTTTCATTACCAGCCCGGTTTTCGATTATTTTTTACCGGGTTTACCGGTTCCAAGCTTCCCTGGTGCAAAATTTAACTGGAACGGTTTCAAGCCTAATGGGTCGGGTCGGGCTTATTTAATTTTGTATTTTGTACAACAATCGTAATTTATATTAAGATAAAGTAGTAAAACACTAAAAACCCACTATAAAAAGAATGTTTGAATAAATTCATTACGAATATAAGATAATACAATGAATATGAAAAAAAATATAACTTATAGTATAAGTCTTATACTGGTGTGTTGATAACTTGATATGTAAGGATCAAATTTCAAAGGTTTTCATAGTTTTATTTCAAATTTTTATTGAATAATAATAGTATAATACCTTAAATTAATCTAAAATACTAAAATATTAAGCTTAACATAAATTGTCTCAAATCAACTTAAATATGGAGGACGGTCAAGACAATTCTTCATATGTCTCCTTAAACAGTCCGTGCCCTCCCACTTTCGACAAACAATTAAGACTCGATCATAGTTCTTGCAATTTACTTTGTGAATTTCTTCATTTTCTTCTACCGCCTCAAAGTGTTCCCAAACATATGAGCGCACTCCAGAAGCATTGGGTATGATTTAACTTGAATTGAGAATTTAGGTTTGAGAATTGAGAGATGAATGAAGAAAGGAAGAAGAAGGGGGTCTATTTATAGTTTTTCAAAATGCTAAATTAGTAAATAATAAAAATGTTATTTTTGAAAAAAAATGCCCCAAAAAAGGGCTATTCTTGCAAATTAGCCATTGGGCAACGGTCAAAATGGCAGCTGACTTTATATAAAAAAAAAAAAATCGAAATAGCTGTTGAACCGGTCCGGTTAACCGGTTCCCAAATGACTTGACCATAACGGGTCGTACTGGTCCGATTAACCGGTACCAAAATCCCCGTTCCAAGCCAGCCCCGCCCGGGCCCCTTACTACCGAGCCAGTCTGGTCCGGAGCCAAGCCAGCCCCGCCCGTTTGACACCAGATATGGTGTCCGAGTGGACAAAATGGTTGATTTAGAAGTCTTCACATGGGCTTGGTGATTTGTACACTTGTACTTTTGTCTTAGTCTATCTGATAGTTTGGGTTAGACATGGTATTTGATTGGACAAGAGCATATGTTTTTGGATAACACTAAGAACATTTTTTGAAAATGGGCTTGGTCATTTGAGCCTAGCAAAGGCCAATACTTTTTCCTTATGGATGGGTAGTTATAGTCCTGTATTACTATTGTTACGGATGTACCAATGCAAATGAAGCAGTGGCGTAGCCACCCACCTTGGCTAAAAAATTATACGAAAAATGATACTGTATAGTCGTTGTAAAAATAATAGTAAAAAAATATATAGAATTTGTATATGTTTTGTATATATATACATTCTGTACGTTATATACAAAAAATCATACAAATTTTATATACTTTTTCGGCTACCAGATGTAAATAGTTTCTGGCACGGGCTATAAGTGAAAATACCCCAAAATTATACCATATAGATCAATATTACTTTATATGCTTATATTTTTTTGAATACCCTTAATATAATTGAGTGAGGCGGTTCAATGGTCTAGGGTGTTCAAAGTGAGGTGTTGTTTACTGGTTCAAATCTCTGTCTGAATATTTGCCTATTTTGTTTGCCAAAACGAAACAAAGACCACCGTATGTGGTAAAACAAACAACTAATCTCAAAAATAGTTTTTAAATTTAAAGTTGTTTCTTAAATAAATTTTATAATTTAAAAGTCAAGCTCTACAAAATTTCTTCAACGAAAGCTCTCTATATACTGTAAACCCTCCGGTCTCTCTCTTTCCTTTGGTTTTGAGCTTACTTTTATCAGTAAAACTTTTGTTATTATCTTTTTTATGTTAGTTTTGGTTTATAAAATTATAGTTCTATTAAAAGTGTTTTTATTGTTTAGTTAAATGTAGTACAGTTTGATTTAAAAATTTTGGTGCACCTATTCATCAAAATCAAGTTTATTGACTTATTTAAAGTTTGAATACCCTTGGCGAGATTCCTAGCTACGCCATTGATAGGTTGATATCACGATTTTCATGCAAACTTACCAGTTGAGTAGAACAACCAACAAGTCAAAAATGGATTTGCATATGTATATGGTCGAGATTGTATGCCTTCGATCTCTATGCTCGAGAGGTCGTCCAAACCGAATTCAGGCAAGGTCGAGTTCGAGCTCGAGGGACCAGACCCGAGTTC